GAAAATTCCAATGAGCTGAATGGTTTTAGCCTTTCGAGAAGCAGAGTCAGGTAACAGAATGAGGGTCTAGGATTAGGCCTATTATCTAGTGGCTGAGTGAATTTGGGCATGCCCATTTTTCTTCCTGGGTCTTATTTTCTCTACTTATAAAAGGAGAACTTGGATTAGATCAAGCATACACATCAAAGTTATCTTTGAGAAACTTGAATACAGAAAGCAGATCCCACTAAAGAGCTAACAGATCATATTGACACACGATTTAGATTAAGATTCACAAGATTAAGATTAAGGTTTGATTTTTAATAATCTGTGGTTCTTGATTCCAGGGCAGAGATGGAAGGATTAGAATCTACTTAAAAGTTCAAGGGCAAAGCAGCCTCTGAAGGTTAAGAGAAAAAAACAAAACAAAACAAAAACCAGCAACAAAAAACAAATGCTTCCAAAGACTCTTCTTTATATCATCAAAATTATAAATTTAAAACCATATTCTCAATGGTCATTCCTATCTGTGGCCAAGTAGAATCCTGGGGTGCACTTCCCCAGTCCTGGTATGGAAACTTTACTCTCTTTGTAAACCTCATTCTCCATATTGTCAAATGAGAAAGGGGATTTTTTGAGTATTTGCTGAGATGAAATTCAGATAAATAATAATTATCAAATACTTAAGTAATGACTGCTGGCTGGATCCCTGTCTCTTCCTTTATCCTTAGAAGTGGATGATGGTAAAATTCTAAGGATTCTAATGAGGAGAATGTGATTGATGAAAGTATTTTGAAAATAGAATGGTATAGGATCATAAGGAGTGGTACTTCCTATAGAAGGCCAGTTGAAAAGCAAGGATCGGATGGGTAGAGAAGTCTAAAACCAAAAGGACGCTGACAGGAGCTGAGGGCAAGTTAGGGTCATAGTTCCTGGTCACTTGAACTCATAATCACAAGTCTATTGGGGATTGAACTCAGAGGTGCTTTATCACTGAGCTATGTCCCCAACCCTTTTTATTTTTCATTTTGAGACAGAGTCTTGCTAAGCTGCTGAGGCTGGCCTTGAACTTGCTGTCTTTCTGCCTTAGTCTTCCAAGTAGCTGGGATTACAGGTATGTGCCACTGTGCCTGGCTCAAGTTTAAAATTATTTAAGAAGGAATAAATCTAAAAAAGGTCTTCCTTCAAAATTGAAGGAAGAACTCATAAATTTAGGGCAAACAAAAAAATAGCTTCACTGTACATGGTGACTCACACAAACTGGTAATTGGAAGGGTCTCTGGAGGTCAATTCATCACTGGCCCCCAAATCTTATTTCAGTTGGAGAAACTGTGGCCCACAAAGTGAGACTACTGTCCAAAGCCATGTACTAGACCAAAAGTGAACCCTAGAATCAGAATTCAGAGCTCCTGCTCCAGGGCTTCTTTCCCTAAACCAAAAGAAAGTTGTGTCATTGTGAATGAGGATTTGTTTACATGTGTGTGTGTGTGAATCAAGTCATAAGTCTAATCACTAGGACTCTGGCTGACTGGCTGGTTATCTTTCTGTGAGATTATAGTGCAAATCACATTTTCATGGCAAGTGAACATCTGTTAGATCAAACTATTAAAGACTAGTATAAATAATTATCCAAGTTCAAAAATATAAGTTTCCTACTGTTTATCAAAACTATAAAGCAAAGGAAGAAGAAAAAGGCTGCAGTGACAGGAAGTAACATGAGATCCCATGGGACTTTCTGCAACTATGATTCCCCTGCCCCTTCAAGGAAGAACCTGAGAAAGAACATCTCAGAGCTTGGGAGAGCCAAGTCAGAACATCCTGACCTTGGTGCATATGATCTCACAGTATACTTAGCAGATATTGATTCTGTGAAGGGCACAGAAGACAGGGAATGAATGGCTGTAGCTTAGTGGCATGGCACAGTTCCTGGTCATAGATCCTTACAGATATTTGCACTGGCGTATCTTATTTAATTTTTTTGGTATCAGGAATTGAACCCAGGGGTACTTAACCACTGAGTCACATCCCCAGCCCTTTATATGTTTTATTTTGAGATAGGGTCTCAATAAGTGGCTTAGAGCCTCACTAAGTAGCTGAAGATGGCTTCGAACTTGCAATCCTCCTGCCTCAGCCTCTTGGGTCATCGGGATTACAGGCATGCACCCCACTCCTGGCAGAAGCATCTCATTTAGGCCTCTAGTTGGAATTACTTAGGCCTTCTGTGACATCTTTATGGTGTTTGATTTTGCCATTTATTGTAGTGAGAATTCACAAATATGTCACATAAAATGAGGCAGGGAGTGTTTAGAAGTTGGGATTTAGACAATCCCCGTTTCTCTGACAGTGTCTACCACAATGTTCTATGCCTAGTAAACACCTGGATTTGAACAAGAAGGTGTTCAATAAATATACTGTGGCACTGAGGTTTCCTGGGTCCTATGTTTCTTTTCTTGGACAGCAAGTCTATATTTAGCTATATATTGTCTTGTTCATTTGAGATCAGGTTACAATTTCTGTTGTCTCCTTACCTGACCACACCCACCATATACCTTAATTGTGGCAGGTATCTCTCCTGCTCCCTGTGGGGGTTTGAGTTGGTTAGGTGGTCCCCCTCAAAGGTTTATTCTTGTCTTTTCCTTAGGGTCATAAGCATTTACTGCAGGCACCATCGTAGGAACTGCAGGCCAGCCCAAAAGCGTGGATCTTGTTTTTGTTCTATGAGCTGAACCTTGCAGTTGAAATTTATGGGCTGGGGTTGTGGCTTAGCGGTAGAGCACCTGCCTCGCACGTGCGAGACCCTGGGTTCGATCCTCAGCACCACATAAAAATATATGAATTAAAAAAATAAGGTATTGTGTCCAACTACAACTAAAAAATAAATATTAAAGAAAAGAACAAATTTATATTCAGGGCAGCACTTTCACCTTTCTCCAAGGTGGAACCCATTGATATTCCCATTGGAATTTATATACATCCATTAAGTACCCTAAGTTCATATTTTAACAATACACTTGATTCTTATAATCTTTTCACAAAAAATTAAGATATATCACCATGCTTTTAACCTAACTCTATAAGAGGAAAGCTTTCTCCTTCTTTTATAATGACTTTCACTAACTAACAGACAATTGGCCATTGCTGCAAAACACAAACCTCAGACATAATCATGGCAGCTTATCAATAATCATTAGCAGAGAGGTCTGGATGTAGCTCAGTGGTAAAGCATGTACAAAGCCCTAGGTTTGACCCCCAGTATTGAAAAAGAAAAGAAAAAAATCAGTGGAATATTCACAAGAATAATATCTTAAACTGATTAGTGTAGATGGTGAGGCTGGGATTCTAAGCATTGTAGGTTTGCCTAGGAAATTATGAGATCTGTAGAACTTGCCTGAAGTGCAACTTAGGCTTCAGGAGAGGCAATGTGATGCTGGGAAAGAAAGATGGGCTTTGGAACCCTAATCTCAGTGTGATGAGAGGTGGCTATGAACACCAGGGATGGTATTTTAATCCAAGAACCCTAATTTGTAACATTTAAAAAATTGCTACCTGTGGAGTTGTTTTAGGGAATAAGAAATGCCTTAGCACTCCATGGTGAGAGGAGCCTGGTATGGGAAATCTTGAACGCTATTTCCAAACCTTCAGGCTTTGACCAGAGCCAAGATCTGTCCCAGAGGGTGCAAATAGAGTCCACTGACCTATGTGGTGGAGGACTGTAGGCACAGAGAGCCTGGGAGGACCCAGCTTGCAGATGGAAGTTTTTTCTCCACAACTGCAACCAGTGCTGTTGCCACAAAAAATCTCCTGGCTTCACATCAATAGCTTCTCTATTCATCTTCCAGTTTTGCCTCTTGATGTCTCAGCATCTCCACAAAGATCTAGTATTTTTATTTTATTTTTAATTTTTTTTTTGTAGTTGTAGATGGACAGCATGCCTTTATTTTATTTGTTTATTTTTATATGGTGCTGAGGATGGAACCCAGTGCCTCCCATGTGCAAGGCAAGCACTCTGCCACTGAGCTACAGCCCCAGCCCAAGATCTAGTATTTTTAAAGAATTGGTTCCTAAGTATTTTATTTATTAATGCTATTGTGAAAGGAATTTATAAAAAATTTTGTTTTCCAATTGTAGGCTGTTCTCAACTCTGCCTTTTCCAATAACCCTAAAAAAGTTGGCAGGGGAGTAATCTTTACAAACCCACTTAACAGATGAAGAGACTAAGCCTCAGAGAAATGATGTTACTCAATGTTATTGAGCTATTAGGAAGCACCTGAGCCAGGACCCACAGCAAGGTCTATTTTACACCAAGGTAAGGGCTCATTCCATTATGTGGCTCCATGTGAAGGTTAGAGGTTAGGTGAGAAGAATATGCTCTACAATCACAGAAGACTACATAAATATCCACAAAACTATTCACATATGACTAATAAAGAAACCACAGCCCAAGAGATCTTTCCTGACCATCTGACCTAAATAGCTTTCTAGTCATTCCTTATCACATTACTAGGCCTTATGTTTTATCAAAGCATTTACTGCTATCACGTAAACATTCTGGTTTTGATCTGTCTCTTTCCACTTGATTATAAGCTCTTAAAAGAGTCTAAACCCTCCATGTCCTGTTCACCACTGATGATGCTTCAGTGGCTATAAAAATGTCCCTCTTGTACTCCTGATGTGGGTAACATAATTGACAGACAAGCCCAGCTGCCAGTTCTCTGTATCCCCTCAACTCTCCACATTCACATGGATGAACTACCTGTGAGCTGTTCCCATCTAGTGGCAGCAATTCTAACACAAGCCTGTGAGACATGGAACTTCTTTAACAGAAACTTTGGCTGGAAATTCTGCACTGACGTGGTTGGGCCTATTTAGCACTGTGTAACAGCCTGATCCTCCTTCCTGCCTTCTCTCCTTCACATGTCAGTCCTGAAAGTGTTCTCTGGGTTCCTTTCCTTATCCTTGAAGCTGTTTTACCGAGTAAATTTCTTGGCATGTCTAAACTTTTCTTTTTCTTTTTTTTTTTACTTTATAGGAAAGGTGAGTGGCAGCTGCAGGTATTGTGCTGACCTGAGCTGTCAAAGTCTCTCCAGTTGTTCTTGCATGGTCTAAACTTTTCTTGATGTCTGCTTCTCAGGAACCCAAATTATTACACCCACTGTCCAAAACAGTGCTTCATGAACTAATGATGGCCTCTCTTCCCCAAGAAGTGTACCTACCTATGGTGGAGTGCCCGCCTGGCCTCTCAGCTCTATTTATGTGGACTCTAGGAGAGATGTGCTTGCCTTGCACATCTCTCCTAGATTCAGAGAAAACTGAAGCTAAGGTCTAGTCAATGGCAAAAGCTGGCGTAGGTTAAAACTAAAGGCAATAAGAACTCTGTGATGCCCTCTCTTAAAGGAATCCAGGGAGAGGATCCATGTGCTAGGAAGGCCAGAGACGGCCACCTCAAAAAGAACAGAGATGGCAATGAGTCTCTTCCAGGTCCCCATCCACACACCAGGTCTTGTGACAGTATGAGACAAGGACCTATAATCTAGAATTTCAAGGTATGGCTTAATAGTTGAGAGCTTGGATCCTGGGGCCAAGCTGTCTGGGTTTGAGGGGCTGGGATTGTGGCTCAATGGTAGAGCGCTCGCCTAGCACAGGTGGGGCCTGGGTTCGAGCCTCAGCACCAAATAAAAATAAAGGTATTGTGTTGTGTCCATCTACACCTAAAAAATAAATATTTTAAAAAAAACTGTCTGGGTTTGAAATGTAGTCCCTTTACTTACTAGCTGAGGGAATGAGGGAAAGGCTTTTAACATTTCTGTGCCTCAATTTCCTTTTTTGTAAAATGGGAATGATAAAAAGTATCTACCTCATTGGATTGGATGCAATGGTACATGCCTGTAATCCTAGTGACTTGGGAGGTTGAGGTATGCCTGTACTTCTAGTGACCTGGGAGGTTGAGGTGGGAAGATGGCAAGATTGAGGCCAGCCTCAGAAACTTAGAAGGACCCTGTCTCAAAATAAAATAAAAAGGGCAAGAAGTGTAGCTCAGGGATCAAGTGCCCCTGGGCTCTATCCCTGTACTGCAGGAGAAGAAAATAAGATGCTTAGAACACTGTCTGTCACACAGTAAACTCTTATTAGCTTTTATTATCAGTAGTAATGTATTTTAAGAGACACCTTGGGGCTGAGGATGTAGCTTGGTGGTAGAGCTACCATGTAGGAGGCCCTGGGTTTGATCCCCAGCATAGCAAATAAACAATAAATAATTTAACAAAATAAAAAGACACCTTTGTTTTTAAGTACCTCAATTACTTAAGTATAATGCACTTTAAATCAAGGAAGTCAGCAGAGTTTATCTGGTATATAATTAATCACAGTACTATAAAAGAAATATTTTTTAGTTTGGGCAAAACAAAGTTAAAGTTAAGTATGCTATCTTAGTTTTGGAGAGTAGCATAGTATTCAAAGGTCTGGTGAGAGCTGGGTGGTGGTGTGAACCTGTAGTCAGTTTACTCTGGAGGCTGAAGGGAGAGTTCAAGGTCAGCCTGGGCAATATAGAGAGACACTGCCTCAAAACAAACAAGAAAACCAAAGGGTTGTGACGATCATAAGAAGGCAGCAACAATTAGCTATACATTCAACAGATATTTAATGTTTATCATGTACTAAACATTATGCTATATGCTTTAAATAAATTCTTAATCTTCAAAATATGAAGAATGCTTTGTTTTTATGTTGTTGATTCAGAAGTTGATACAGGAAAGTCAACTAACTTACCTAAGATTATTATTAAGACTGAATCCATCACCCCCACCTCCTTACATATATATAATTATAATGCATTAATTAAAATAATAATAATAAAAGGAGATCAGTAGAGTAAAGTAAGCAGATTGGGGGAGGGAGGTGGAGAGGGAAAGGGAAGATACTAGGGATTGAGACTGATCAAATTATGTGATATGTATGTACAAATATGGCATAATAAATCCCACTTTTTATAAAATTATAAGATACCAATATAAATTTTTTAAGAAGACCTAATCCACTGATTCAACTCATCATTGTGGGTTCATGTGTTTATATGATTCTAACACTCTATGTATTACAATGGCCTTTTATGCATATGATATATGTATTGTATAGGCATGAACACTTTATAAACCACAGTCTTATTACACAGATATGAGAGCTTGTCATCACCAACATCATTGGGAACACTAACTGACATTCAAGCAACCTAGGTTTTAATTCTAGCCTTGCCGATGATCTGTATGATATTGAATTAGCTCCTCTCTTGACCTCCGGATATGTTGTCATTTGAGGAGTATGGAACTAAACATTCTCTGAGGATCCTTCAAGATCTCATTCTCATTCTCAGAAGTTTCTCATACTATGCAATCTATTCCTTTCTGTCTTGGCTGGATGTTTTGGCCAATATGATTCATCAGCCATAAACGAATTTTATTCACTGACCTCACCCAGAAAAGGGGTGAGGAGGTGGCAAACAAAATCAAACAGTAGATACATAAATATAAAATTTAGGTCATTAGTATAACCTCATCTCTTCAGCCTAGTTAGTACATCCTCCATTTTGAGTTTTTCTTTGTTTTATACCACAACAATTTTAAACCATTGTTTCAATATTCAGAATTTTGGATAGTTCAGTCTCTTAACTCCTGTGAATAAAGTTAGACTGTTTTTGATGTTTCCTTTCTCCTCTTCTCAACAGTGAGTTTCTCAAAAACAAAAATATCTGAAAATAAGGTGGAAGGCATAAAACAAAATTTTGTATAACTATAAATAAATTTATAGCCAAACACTGTAACTAAATAATTCAAATAAGTTATTTGAATAGCTACTTATTGGGCAACATTTTTGGGGGGGAGGTACCAGGAATTGAACACAGGGGCACTTAAATATTGAGCCATATCCCCAGCCATTTTAATGCTTTATTTTGAGACTAAGTTGCTTAAGAACTCACTAAGTTGCTGAGGCTTGCCTTGAACTTGCAATCCTCTGGCCTCGGCCTCCCAAGTCTCTGGGATTACAGGTATGCAACTGATTTTTATCAGGTCTTTTCTGATGTGGTAGAGACAGAAAGACTGAGAAGACAGAACGAGACATGTTCTCACCCTGTCTTTCACACATCTCCTCCCCTATTCCCAAAGCCTGTGCTCAACAAACTGCTCCCAGTTTCCTAAGCCTCTGAAAACTTAAAATAGCTTTTCAGAGAGGAAGTAGGAGAAGCTTGAATTAATTGAAAAAATGCTGAGTTGACCAGTCTTACCTTGATTTGATTAAATCTTCTATGTCTATTACTGCCCAGATGGAGCCTTGCTATTGAAGCTAATTTCAGAAATTTAAAAAAAAAAAAAAAATCAAATTTTCATACTTGAAGTTAACCTCAAATTTTTTATCTGGTAGATATATGTTGGCAGAGAGCGAGGCATACTTCAATTAAAAACAGGTAAACCTTGTGAAAATGGAGAAGGCATAGAGTCACTAGGGTTCCAAAAGCCATTTGATAGAGAAAAGTTAAACTGGAGAACATAAACAAGGCTCAGGAGTTCACTGAAAACAGGTCTGTTTCTTGTGCCCTTCTGTAGCCCTTGACTGTAGGACAGGGTCTGACAAAAACAGGTACTCCCTCGTGTGTCCTGAATGAGTGAACACAAAACAGAAACTGGGGCATCACCTAGAAATGTGGGCAGGAGTCCAAGAGGAGGAGACAGCATGTTCAGGAGGAGCAGAAGTGAATTTTTTTCAGAAATTCAGGCAGACAGCTCACTGGCAACAGCAGTTTTCCAGTGGGCAGTGGGCTCCAGTCACTGGTTCAACATCTAGGAGACTCTGGTCTATGAGAGGAGTTACATAAATGCATGATATGGTCCAATCCTGGGTGGAATTCAAGACAACAGGCAGAGTCATAGGGCAGAGACTGAAGAACAGGAAAATGAGGCATAATTCCAGGGCTGACCCTAGCTGACACACAAGAGCAGGGCCAGAATTGAGCCAAAGGGACAAAGGATCCTGAGCACTGACATAATACAAGGGTGCAGGGTGGGCCTGAATTTGAGGGTAGAATTCAGAGGCCTTGGGCCAGGAGTGCACCAGAGGCTGGGGACTAGCATCACTTCTAGCTCATTGTTTCCAGACACTCCCACTTTACAAATGAATTAAAGCACTGCCTCTTTGCTTCTTCATCTGTGTTCTTTTAGAAATGGCCACATGGGGCTGCCAACTTTTAATGATGTCAAATGTGTACAAACTGCTCTTTACTAGGACTGTCATTTTACACACACATAAAAGAACATGTTAGTACATGCACATATAGTATCTATGAACAAAGGGAAGTTTTAATATCTGATTACATTTAGCTTTATGAAAACTGACACTATCTTCTTCTTCATATTTTTCATTTTGTTGTACACTGATGAAAAAAATTTTCATAGCTCAGCACTGCTCTGTTGGTCCCTGTTTTGAAATATCTGCCACAGGCCAAGATTTTCACATTGTGTTCCAGCTTTCCCAGGCAAGCATGGGAAAAGAGGAGGGGTAGGCACTAGGCACAGCTCCGGTTTGCAGCACTGCACCCTCCCTCTCCCCTGCAATCCAGAGCTGCTACACTCATGTGTTTCATATACTCTGTTCCACGTAAGATCTGGTTAAAAGGGTATACTTAAAATAAGGTTGGAAATCACTCCTAGTTTAGGGTTAAAGAAAGTGAGATTAGTAACAAAAATGAAATTTAAAACTGGGACTTTACAATTCAGATCCTAGAGAAAGAGAGCCATATCTACTGATTTTGTAGCACCCAGAGTGAACCCTATGTATAGCTACTTGTAATAGGATGTTTAGCCATAATCAAGAGCCTTCAGAAGTTCAAGATGGCTTTACTACTAAATACAAAGTTCTAATCCTACTTCTAGCCCCAAATCAGCGTTACAGTAGGCTCTGGAATCTGGGTTGGGGCCAATTAAACAATCATTTATTGCCTTCCTTTACTAGGGATAAGCCTCAAAGAACAAACCAACAAACAGAAATAAAGAGGGGTGGGTGGGTAAAGAGGGGGCGGATCTCAAGAGACATTGGGGAGCCATCCAAAGCTGCTGGTGTTGAGGAGTTGGACGAGATGCTC